TACGACCCGGTACATTATCAACCAAGTTCCAAACTTGATTGTCATGCATTGAATGAATCTTGTTGTCCATTGCCTCTTTCCATTTAACAGACTCGGGGCCTGCCATGGCTTCCTTGTAGTTATTAGGTTCATCTAAATTTACCAGTGTGCTATCACTGATAAATGTATCACCTTTGTAGTAATATGGAAACCATAAAACTCAGGTTGAACTCTAACTCTACTGGAACGCCTTAGGTTCATCTAAATTTACCAGTGTGCTATCACTGATAAATGTATCAAGGTCAATTTGCATCCCACTGTCTCCTTGGCTTATGATCTCTCTCTCACAAAAGACTCCTCTTCTCGCAACGAAGACAACATTGTCACTCGGTTTGTAGAAGAGATAACCAAAATATTTCAGTGGGTAGCTGATGAAATACACCACTCACTATGAGGTTCGAGCTTGTCGTGAGTCTCGCGTCTTACAAAATCCTCGCAACCCCAAACCTTGATGTGGTCTAATGTGGGAGCCTTCCCTGTCCACATCTCATTAGGTGTTTTGGCAACCTTCTTGGTAGGGACTAAATTAAAGATATGTGCGGCAGTCTCTAAGGCATACCCCCGTAATGAGATTGGTAACAAAGCTCAACTCATCATGGAACAAACCATGTCCAACAAGGTTCGGTTGTGCCTCTCAGCTACACCATTAATATGTGGTGTCTTAGGTGGCGTCAACTGTGAAACAATTCCACACTCTTTAAGATAGTCTAGGAATTCGATACTAAGATACCCACAACTCCGATTGGACTGGGGCATCTTTATCTTATTGCCCTGCTGATTCTCCACTTCTTGTTTAAACTCTTTGAATTTCTCAAAGGTTTCTGAATCATGCTTGATTAAGTAGACATAGTCATATCTACTCTAATCATCTATAAAAGTCACATAGAAGCGGTTAGCATCCCTTGTGGCAGTTCTGAAGGGCCCATACACATCGGTGTGTCAGAGATTCAAAAAACCTTCACCCCTTTTACAAGTACCAGTGAAGGGTGACTTGGTCATCTTTCCAAGTAAGCAAGATTCACAAGTGTCATCCGACCTTAAGTCAAATGACTCCAAAACTCCAACCTTTTGGAGTTGGCCTATGCGCTTCTTGCTGACATGTCCAAGATGACAATTCCACAAGCATGCTTTATCCAGTTCATTGGAAGAATCGATACGCAACACATTATTTCCTAAGTTGTCTACAACATTCACAGTTTCATATACACCATTACAAGGTAATGCTTTATTATAGCCTTGCTTGTACAAACCATGAAAAGAAATAATATTTCTCGCCATATCAGACGAGTAGCGACAATTATTCAAATCTATTTCTAACCCACTACTAAGCAATAAAGAGTAAACTGCAATCTTTGTGACAGGTGAAACCTTCATATTCCCCATGATCAAGTTTATCTTCCCTTGCTCCACATCCTTAGTTCTTTTTAGGCCCTGCACATTAGAACAAATGTGAAATCCACAACCCGTGTCAAGAATCCAAGAGTTATAATGTGATGTGTTTTTAGATAAAATAGTATACATACCTGCATGGGTAGGTTTAAGCTTCCCATCCTTGACATCCTGCAATTATTTGGGACAACTTCGCTTCTAGTGCCCTTTTTCGTGACAGTAGAAACAACATGCTTCCTTAGGAATGGAAGAGGGAGCAGCAGAACCAGACTTGGTCCCACTTGAGGAGGATCCATCAAGAGACTTTCTCTTGCAGCTCTTTGAGGGAGCCTTCCTTTTCTTCCATTTCTGTTGCCTAATTGCCAGAACAGGGGCAATTGTTGTAGGAGTAGAAACAACATTTTTACCTTTGAGACCACTTTCAGCGGTCCTAAAAAGCCCTTGAAGTTTGTTGAGTGTAACCTCCTCCTTGTTTATATGATAGGTCATCTGAAACTGATCATAACATTGATGTAAGGAGTGTAGAATGATATCTATGTCCAGCTCCCCAGGAAGGTTCACATTTAATTTTAGCAAACGGTCCACAAACCTTTTCATTTTCTGCAAGTGGGTCGTGATGGGTTCACCATCCTTCATCTTTATTGTAATCATGGAGAAGATGATTTCATACCTCTCTTGATGAGCACTCTAATGGTACCTATCCATTAGGTCCCGGTGCATCTCAAAAGGGTAGAAGTCCTCATAGGACTTTTGGAGTTCAACTGTCATGGTAGCACGCGTGATACAAGCTACCTTGGTGTTATCCTTCTCATGTGCCCTAAACTCAGCGATCTCCTCAGGAGTAGCAGAAGACTTATCAATTTCATTTACCTCCTTGTCGAGGACATATTCCTTATCCTCATAGCGAGTGACCATCCTGATGTTCCTAATCCAATGATTGCATGATTTGTGTTTGTTGCATTAATTGATGAAAGAAAGTAAAACATTGTTGCATAAATTTGGTAAAAGAAAGGAACATTGGTGCATAAACAAGACATGTTCAACCAAGTTCCATATGATTGCATAATTCATACCCAAACTAGTAAAAGAAAGTGAGCATTGTTGCATAAATTCAGATTAATTCCACATATAACATCATAAGGTAGTCGATCTCTGGTTGTAAATTATGTCTAAAAACCATTATATTGCCGAAACAATATAACATGAGATCAATGACTTACTTGGAAGTGCTCTGAAATTCAAAAACAGATAGCAGACGAAGTGAACCTTCTTTGTTTTTCCTTGTGAATTGCGATTTAGGTAAAGTCAGATTTGTAAGATGTCCTTTTTTTTTTTTTATGAATTTTGATTTATATGAAATCGTTTTTTGGTTAATTCTGGTTTTCCAATTGGGATTTCTGTTAACTTATATTTGTATGAAATCCTTTTTCGTAAATTTCAATTTATATGAAACTTTTTAAGGGTAATTTTAATATATATATATATATATATATATATATATATATATATATGGGGCTAGATTTAAATGTGGATGAGCATTTACTGTGCGGGTGTGTGGATAATGTTATTCTATGAGAATGACTAAGAAAATATATTGTTTGGTAGTGTGAATACGTTCAATATTACATAACTATTGTCATTATCATGCATTCTAACAAATCAAATCGTCTCTAAAGGGTATTATAAACCTTTTTTTTTTTTTATGATTCTCATTCTATTAGAATGTGTTATTGATAATCATATTCTGTAAGAATGAAAATGACTGAAAAACAAGACGTGAGAACAAAAACAAATAAGAACTAGTGAGAATTCATGATAATGACGATAGTTATATGAGGTTGAACATATACACATTACCAAACAACTTATTCTATTAGTTATTCTCATAGAATAACATTATCCACACACGTCCACACATTAGATGTTTATCTTGCAACCTAAACAAGCTCATAAACCTTTATAAAGCTCGAACTCGAATTGTTTATCTTGCAACCTAAACAAGCTTAAGCTCGATTAAATATTAACTTCTATGCCGGTGAAATGTATTCATCCTTTCATCTATCCCAATCAACTTGTTATATCATTACCATTTAGTATCTCCTTTCTATTTCATCTTTCTCATCCCATAACACATGATGTATAAATAACTAAAGCATTAAAGGTAGAGAGAGTCTAAAGAGAAAGAAAGGAAGTGTCTAACCTGTTTGAAGTATGACTCCACCTCTTTCTACCCACACCCTACAACTTAGGGTTTTTCCATTTGAACTTCCACTAATGTGGGAAGCTACTGAAATAAGCGTTGCAAAGTAATCTATTGTTTCACTTTTATACATGCTAATCTTTATTCCTATTTTAAGCACCAAGCGATGTGGGATGATTAGATTTTCTCACTTTCTTTTATATATCCTTTTCCCATGAAGATTAACTCCCCGACATTTGATAATTAAAATCACTGCAAATAGATCAAATTATGCATCAAGTCCACATCATTTTACATCTAACTATGCATTAAGTCCACATCATTTTACATCAAATTGTTCCACTATTGCAATAATAAATTATTTGCTATTCTTTATTAGAAACAATCTAATGATGTTCGTGGCCTTCAAGCAACTAATGATTTTAGGCATATTTAACATATTTTAGTTTAGGGTTTAGGTCATTTTTGGTCACTTAACTTTTGGTTTTGTGGTCATTTGGTCACTTAACTCTTTTTAAGTTTTAAAAGGTCATCAAACTTTTGACTTCGTGCTCATTTAGTCATTTAACTTTTGTTTTGGTCACTTAACTTTTAGATTTGTGCTCATTTAATCACCTAACTTTTAAAATTATGCTCATTTAGTCACTAAACTTTTGAAAAAATTTAAAAGTTTAGTGACTAAATGAACACAATTTTAAAAGTTAGGTGATTAAATGTGACCAAACCAAAAGTTAAGTGACTAAATGAGCACAAAGTCAAAAGTTTGATGACCTTTTAAAACTTAAAAAGAGTTAAATGATCAAATGAGCACAAAACCAAAAGTTAAGTGACCAAAAATGACCTAAACCCTTTAGTTTATATGGTTTAAATGATTATTAAATTATATCACTTGCAAATAAAAACAAATTTATTAAGCACATTTTATCTACGATAATGATATCAAAATTTTAAAAAATATTATTACATTATTAAGACTCGTTTAGGTTTAGGATTTGTGTAAACTCGTTTAAGTTCAAACCAATTTGGCTTATGAGCCTAATTGAGCTCACTGAACTCGAGCTTGAGCTGGCACAAAATAAGCTTGAGCCAACTCAAACTCAAATCAACCTTTTAACAAGTCATTCACAAGTAACTATTCATATGTAAGTATGGATAATGTACAACAATTTTGAGTTTAGTTGACTTACAAATAGCAAAAAGTCTAGAGACATTTTGTAAACAAGGGTTAAATCTTGGGCCTTAAAAGGAGAATTTTGACCCATTGTGATAATGTGGCTAAATTGAAAACCTCTAGCTTTTAATTGGGCCAAACAAACTCTCATTGTAAGCCTATACAAGCCTTCTCTCTCTCTTGGCTGTCGACCCGGCCGATGTCATTTGGCGCGAAGAAGTACACACGCCTGAGTTTCGCGTAATTCAATCTGGAAAATGGCTCCAAAACGCCGGCGAACGACGGAGAGTGAAAACAAACCAGTAGTACCAAATTGTTCTTCAAGGATCACACGAGCTCGGAGTTCGTCGGTGAAGTTAAATAATTATAATTCGCCGGTGGTCGTCTTCGCTCACGGCGCTGGTGCTCCTTCATCTTCTGAGTGGATGATTAGGTTAGAATTTTTAACTCTCTCTCTCTCTCTCTCTCTGAATATCTATGCACATTCATGTTATCCTTCGTGAATGTAGGTTGAATAAGAGCTATTAAATCTTCTATTGTTGTTGGTTGTGTGTTAGTTTTTGATGCATTCTCACATCATTGCCAATTTTCGGTTTAAAATCTGCGTCTTATTAGGAACAAATTAGTATAAGATTCAATCCGATTAGGAACAAATTAGAACGCCACAAACCCTAACGAGGGAAAATTGGTTATGCTGGCTACAATAATCAGATGTTTGGTTTTATGCAGATGGAAGAACTTGTTGGCGGATGCACTAAAAGCTATCGAAGTTGTAACTTTCGATTATCCATGTGAGTTTCCTCATAAATCAAATTCATTCACAACTTTGAATGCTTATGAAATTATGAGGTTGTCTAAAAATAGCTATTCTCAGACATTGCCGGAAGAAAGCCTCCTCCCAAAGCAGAAAAACTAGTTGAATTTCACACAGATGTCGTTAAAAAGATTGCTTCCAAATACCCAAAACATCCTCTTATTTTGATCGGAAAATCCATGGGTTCAAGGTAAAAGTTATTCACCTAAGCTGATATGCAATTCAAGGAAATTCAGTATTTCAATAGATTCACATAAAAGATCGAACTTAATAAACCAATAAAATCTTGAGTATTTTTTTTTTTTTTTTTTTGAAATCTCAACATCAAACAAAACCAAAAGCCTTCATTGTTACATGCAGAGTGAGTTGTATGGTGGCTGCTGAGACTGATCTCAAGGCTTCTGCTGTGGTTTGCCTTGGGTACCCTTTAAAGGTAAATACGAGGGTATTTACGTCTTTTCCTCTTACAAGAAATTAGTACACAGTTTTTTCCTATGATAATAAATTTGTTAAATATATTATTTTGCAGGGCACAAAAGGAGCCATTCGAGATGAACACCTAATGCAACTTTCAGTTCCTACCATGTTTGTACAGGTGATTAATGAGTGTCAATTCATAATAAAATAAGGGCAAATCTGTAAAAGTTATGATTTAACTAACATCATCTTTGTGTAAATAGTTCATGATTATAAAATGAAAGGGTATTTTTGTCACTCAAACTTTTTCTTTGAAGGGTACCAAAGATGGGCTATGTCCATTGGGATCTTTAGAAGGTGTTAGAAAGAAGATGAAAGCTTTGAATACAGTTTATGTGGTTGAAAATGGCGATCACTCTTTCAAAATTGGAAAGAAGAATCTTGAAATGGCGGGAATCACTCATGAAGAAGTAGAAAGACTTGCTGTTCAAGCAATTGCAACATTTGTTTCTCAAGTTACTGTTGCAAAGTGATTACTATTAATTGCTAACCTTTTTTTTTGTTAGTATATTACGTTATTGCCCTTGTAAGCTGTAAGTTGTAGACCCTATCTTTTTGTGAAGTTTTTTACTTATGGCGTAGACTTTATTTGTACTGTAAAGTCGTCGTTTGTTTTGACAATTTTGCCCTCCATGATATGACAACTTTAGGCTCTCTTTTAGGTGTCGTTTTGTGTTGACTCATGGACTTAATAGGAAAAACCATGTCTTAATTCGATAAGTTATGGGTTTTTTTTTTTTTTTCTTAAGTCTTGATTTTTTTTTTCTCTTCCAATTTTACCCTTGGCAAATTGTCTCCTAATTCTTTACATCCATACTTGTATAAAAACGTTGTTAATTCGTGATTTGTGTCAATATGTTATATCAAGTATTTTTTTTATTTAAATATTTAATATATTTGTTTTATTAATGTAATTTAGAATTCCCTTTACTTAGTAAACAGACACTTTTCATTCCCAACTAATCTAGATATAAGGGTAAAATGGTCATTTAGTGGACTTGTAGGCTGGCAATGGATAACCACATTGATTCCATACTTTAAAGTACAAAAAAAAAAAAAAGATAACCTCACAAGGGTATTTTGGGTATTTCGTTACATTTTTTTGTCAGTCACCATTGATGCTTGATTTTCTTGTTGAAAAGAAATATTATTTTTGTAGTTTGGATTCTGGAAAGGTGACATAGTTGACTAATTAAAGGCAAATTTGAATTCTAGAAGGATATAGAGAGTCCAAAAATAAGTTGGTATTTGTTTGTCTATGTCGACTTGTTAATTTCCAAGTCTTTTTTTTACCATAATGATATTCTTTTGCATGCATTTGGATTAAATAAATATTTTCGAGGAAGTAGACTTTAGAGAACATTTTACATAAAATATGACAACAATACATCTTCCTTTCTGTAATTGTTTTATTTAGAGACACAAACTAATGGAACAAACATGAATTTGATTATCAAGTTTTTCAAATTTGTTTTTATCAAACAAAATTTTGATAGTGTTTTCAAGATCTTGGATCGAACTTGCTTCATGGAGTATATTTTTTTATATATTTTATCAAATTATTTGAACTTTTGAATCAAGTTTTAGTCTTTTTTTTTTTATATTAGAAGATTCATTGAGTAATTAAAATCAAGATCAAACTTATCATAAAAATAGACAAAAAAATAATATAAAAATCATTATATTTTGGTAATTTTAATGGTTCAAAAGACTATATTTTTGTTTCATTGGTAAAAGTTATCCAAATTTGACAAATTTCTCTCTATCAACCTTTTTGACCGGATATATAACAGGTTAAATTTGTCACAAAATAAAATTTTGTTAAAATATTCACCGGAACTATGAAATTTGACAAAATATATTATTTTAACTTTCAAAATTATCAACATACAAAATAAAATAATAATAAAAACCTCATATAAAAATACTAACATATTTTCATTTAATTTAAAAAAAAACCCTTATATTATTTTTTATTATTAAACCCTTTATATTCTTTGAAAATTTTATACTTGTTGATCTTAGGAAAACCCAAGTTATTTTCTCAAAGCATAAAAAACAATTATATTATTTTTGTAGTAATTAAAACCCTTTTATTTTATGAAACTTTCTAATCTACTAGATCACAAGGCCCGTGGATGTGCAGCAGGAAAAAAAAAAAAAAAAGGAAGGAAGGAAATGGTTCCCTACCTTGGAACACGATACTGAGAGTGAGGGAAAAGAGTGAAGCGAGTTTATCTCTCATTCTCTCTCATCGTGTGATTGGTTAGTATTTTTGTGTGATATTTATTAAATTATAAACCTACTAAAAAATTTATATAGAAAAATTTATGGTTTTTAATTCTCTATAAAATGAGTATAATATTTGTATGTCATATATATATATATATATATATATATATATATATATATATATATATATAAAGTGAAAGATTTTTCCAATATACAACCTGCGTTTTGATGAGAAAAAGAAAAGTAAGAGAAATGCTGACGTGGCAGACAAAAAGCAAGGAATCCTTCCTGCACACATCATCGGGTCTAACCAACAAACATTTGAGAGTTTATCTAGCATTTGTGGCTATCAATGGTGTACTAATCTCAAAACCTTAATCTATTTAGTTTAAAATTTAAGGGTTTAATGTACTAAAAAAAATAATATAATGGTTATTTCAAGAATTTGATGAAAATATGATGAGTTTTTCTAAGTTTTTTCCTAAAAAAGTTGTCAAACTTGTATGTCATTTATTAACGAAACGGTTAAAACTACAAAAGAACAGCAAAAATATATCGTTTTTTAAAGTATTATACTGTATTTATTATCCGAAAAATGTATAATAGTTTATTTACTTTTCAACTAAAACTATGATATCGTGAGACCCATATTCTCTCATATTTGTTTTGTTGTAGGTTTTTATTATTATTTTTTTCGATAATGAATCCTAATCTTATGGATAAGTACTGAGAAAGAAGAAAAAAGAAAAAGAATTTTGAAAGCATCCCACAACGGAAAATGCATAACAAGTGGAGGTGTTTATTAAAGACAAAACTGCAAAAATGGTCTCTGTGTTTTTTTATTTTTTGTGGTTATGGTCCAAACGTTTAAAAAGTTGCAGATTTGGTCCTTTTCAATAAGTTTTGTTGTGGTTTTGGTCCCTCATCCGTTAAGTTCCTTAAAATGACAATTTTACCCTCAGGACCATTTTCACAGTTTTATCTTTTACTATACTATAAGGACCATTTTTGCATATATTCTATTTTATTTTAACAAAGTATTATATATTAATAGATATTATTTTTAATATATAACATTATATATTAATAAATATTTTTTTATTGGATTATTAATTTATTTTAGGTGATTTTTTTTTAAAAAAAATTGTTGGAGTAATTTTTTTTTATTAAATATTATATATCAATACATATAGTTTTTAATGTATAATATTTATATCATAATAAATATTAAATTATTGGATTATTAATTTTTTTAGTTAATTTTTGTAATTTTAATTATTTTTTATTGTATTATTACGTTCAATTTATTATTTTCTTCATATACTAAATGTTGTTTTATTGGATTATTAATTTATTTTAGCTAATTATTTTTTTAAATTTTTTTATTGAAGTAATTCTTTTTTATTGAATTATTATATATCAGTACATATAATTTTTAATATATAATATTTATATCATAATAAATATTATATTATGAGATTATTACATTTTACGAAACATTATTTTATTGGATTATTAATTTTTCTTTTAGTTGACTCTTTTTATAATTTCTTTTTGTTTGAGCAATTTTTTTATTAGATTATTATATATCAACAAATATTATTTTTAATATATAATATTTGCATCATAATAAATAATACATTATTGGATTATTAACTTTTGTAATTTTTTTTTGAATTATTAATTTATTGAGATATTACTTTTTATTTATTATAATTTTAATATAATAAATACTATCTTATTGGATTATTGTTTTATTTTGAATGTATAATATTTATTGTTTTTAATTTTATTAGTTCCACCACAAAATCGCCGAAATACGTAAAAGTGTTGATTATCATCATCAAAAATTAGCTGGATCACCTCCAAACACCTTCATCGGAGGTTCAATAGATATTATATCTTATTCCACCCAGCGTTGTTGGTAGCCACCTGCGACAACTTCTTCATAATCCACTGGAATCCTTCATATCTCACATAATGCGCAACAAACCCCGATAACATTTATAAGTGGTGGTGGTGGTGACCGGGTGATGGTGGTGGTATTTTCCCAATGGTTTCTCATTATAAGCTAGATGAAATGAAAGTGTTTGACAACGATCCTAACGATTTCGATGATGAGAGACCACGATTTTGCGTATCCCATGACTTTGTGGTGGAACCAATAAAATTAACAAGAACTACTATTATAATCCGATAAAATAATATTTAGTATATGAAGAAAATAACAAATTAAAAGTAATAATCCAACAAAAAATATTTAAAAAAAAAAAGAAATTACAAAAAATAACTAAAAGATAATAATAATCCAATAATATAATATTTACTATGATATAAATATTATATATTAAAAACTATATATATTGATATATAATAATTCAATAAAAAATAATTACTTCGACAATTTTTTTCTAAAAAAGAATTAGTTAAAATAAATTAATAATCCAATAAAACAATATTTAGTATAGGAAGAAAATAATAAATTAAAAGAAATAAAAGAAATAATCCAATAAAAATAATTAAAAATATTAACTAAAAGAAATTAATAATCTAATAATATAATATTTATTATTATGATATAAATATTATATATTAAAAACTATATGTATTGATATATAATAACTCAATAAAAAGAATTACCCTAACAAAAAAAAAAATTAAAAAAATCAACTATAATAAATTAATAATCCAATAAAACAATGTTTATTAGTATATAATATTATATATTAAAAATAATATTTATTGAAATATAATACTTCAATAAAATAAAAAAGAATGTATGCAAAAATGGTCCTTATGGTATGGTATAAGATAAAATTGCGAAAATAGTTCCTGAGGGTAAAATTGTCATTTAAAAAAAGTTAACAGCCAACCAGTTAAACTTAACAGATGAGGGATCAAAACCACAATAAAACTTGTTGAAAATGATCAAATCTGCAACTTTTCAAACATTTGGACCATAACCACATAAAAAAAGAAACCACGGGGACCACTTTTGCAATTTTGTCTTTATTAAAGCAAGATTGGGGAGAAAAAAATACGTTCGCTAGGAGAGATGGTTGGCATCTCCCTTGACAGAGATGGGAGCGGCCTTCGGGCTTATCTGTTACTACACGTCTGGCTAAGGCTATCCACTCCGTTTGATCTCTAACCCTATTTATTATTATTATTAATTTTAAAAAAATAACTTTACACAACTAGATTTAAGGTAATATATCCTTTTTAAATTGCAAATAGAAGACATGTAACTTTACATTGGAATTCTAATATTCTATAATCATGAAATTAGTATTGGCTTTTTAATGATAGATCTTTCATTTTTTTTATAGTTATTTTAGTGATCGATCCATATACAAAAATGTTAATTGCATTAGTTTTGTTTAATTTATTAAACCATTTATATTATAAACGAGAAGAATATC